TGTTGGTGATGATGTTGGTGTTTGCGATGATGGTATGATGATGGTGGGGTTGCTGATGATGCTGATGATGACGGCGGTGGTGGCGATGAGTATGATGCTGATATTGATGATGGTGATGGTGATGACGACGATGCTGGTAGTAGTGACGATGACGATGCTGGTGATGTCGATGATGATGTTGCTGGTGATGATGGATGGCGACTGCAGATGCTAATGCCGATGCTGATGATGAGACTCATGATGAGGATGATGATGATGATGATGATGATGATGATGATGTTTATGAAGCTGATGTTGTTGATGATGACTATGATGATGCGGGTGCTGATGGCGATGGTGATGATGGTGATGATGATGATGATGATGATGATGATGATGATGATGATGATGGTGATGATGATGATGATGACGATGGTTATGATGAGATGATAGTAATGACGATGAAAAAGAGAACGATCGTCAGGAGGAGGAGGAGGTCGAGGAGGATAAGGAAGACGATGAGGGGGATGCTTGTGTTGATGTTCATGCTGATGACGCTGCTGCTGCTGCTGCTGAGGAGGAGGAACTCCTACAGAGGAGGAGGAGGATGAGGTGGAGGAGGAGGAGGAGGAAGAGGAGGAGGAAGAGGCGCCACCCGACGGCTCCTTGGGGGCCCCCCGAGGTGCGCCCTGGGCTCTGCCTCAACGTCGGCAGGGACGGGGCTCCGGCCGCTTGCGCCCTCCACTGCCTGGCGGAGATGCGGCGCGCAGAGCGCTTGCACGCCCTCGTCAACGCGTTCCCGCCGGCAAACGCTGCCGAGGGCCCAGCTGATCTTGGAGGGGTTCGAGACCTTGGCGTTTTGTTATCCAAATAGGCTTGCCTTATAGGAATTCCAAGTCAAGCCCTACTAATTGGTCCGTTGCCCCCCCCAAATCACATACTCCCCCTAATTCCCACGGCTACGCGTACGCCTACGCTCCCCCCCTAACTCCTATGCCGATTCTCCAAGTAGGCTTGCCCTATAGGAGTCCTAGCTCATCATAAGTAATTGGTTTTTGCACCCCCCTCCCCTTTTCCAATGGCACTCACCCCTTTTTCCAATGCTCCCCCCTTTTTTGTCCAATGGCGCTTGCTTGCTTGCTCTTGCGTGCTTGCGCTCGTTTGCTTGCTCTTGCTTGCCTTTGCTTGCTTGCGCTTGATCGCTGGCTCTTCCTTGCTTGTTATTGCTCGCTTGCGCTTGCTTGATTCCGCTTGCTTCCGCTTGCTTGCTTGCGCTTGCTTGTTTTTGCTCCTCCCGTCCCGCTCCCGTCCTCCTTCCGTCCTCCTCCCATCCTGGTCTCGTCCTCCTCCTGTCCTCCTATCTATTTGGAGTCAACGCTGGCTGATCTATCTGGTTTTCGAGGGCGCTGGCGCCGCGGTTTTCTTCAGTTGTTCTGCGCCTTCCATGCGTGTTCGTCCGTTTGGGGGATTTCTTCGCCTCGCGACGCCTTCGGTCAGCTTCGTATCGTCGACAGCGTTCTCGGAGTGCTTGGATCGTCCCGATAAATCGACAGCGGCCCGAGTTCTGGCCCGAAAACCAGGGGGTGGCGTTACAGTCTTTTCACACCGGGCGGGCGCTTGGGCCTGGATCCGGCTTGAAGAACGGCGCAGAGAGGTGCGGTTCGGGACTTTGGCCGTGATTGTTCACGATAGTGCCTGTTTTCACGAGGGCCCAACGATCGTGAGGGGGAATGATCCCCAGACGTGCTCGCGTCGTGAACGAAGACACGACGAGACCTCTCTGGCTGCGTTTGGCCCCCAGGGGCTTTCGCCGTGCCTCGGGACCGTCAAAAAATGATGCGGGGTGCCCAAACTGATCTCGGGGAAATGGTCTGGAGTTCTGGGGACCACGTATTGAACAAATCAAGACATCGCATATCTGGGATGAGGAGGACCGGCTCCGGGGGGAAGCATCGAGGGCCCAGCGGTTTTGAAATTGAGGCAACGTCGGGTGGGGGGCGGTGCATCGACCCCCCCTCGCCCAAGCCTGCCCAGAAGCATGGGGATTTGCCGTCGGGGGCAGATCGGCGATGTATCGCCGATTCAGGGAGGGGGGGAGCGCCATCCTCCGTCCCTCCAGGCATCCCGTATGGGGTCCGAGGGGGTCGGAGGATCGCGCCGCATCGCCGATGCATCGGCGATGCGGTTCGATGTGGAGCCTAATGTTCTTCAAGCCGATGCATTACCGACGTCGCCGATGCATCGGCGATACGGCGCGATCGTCCGACCTTAGCTACTCGGACCCCATTTGGGAGGCCGCCTTCCCCTCAGATCCAGGCCTCGCCGGAAATTCGCACGGCTGGTTCTGTTGACGCGCAGGTTTCTGCGCCGCAGGGCCGTCAGAACGGCCCTCCGGGAAGGGGGCCCATGTACAGTCAACCCGCATGGTAAGGATGGGCCACCTTCCTGAGGGTAGCCTTGCATCCTTGCCTTCTCGGCCCATTCCTGGCCGCTTCCGTCGGCCGCGCCCCGCTCGAGAAGCTTCGACGTGGGAGTCCGAGGCCCTGGCATCCTCATCGCGCATCCTTGAGGCACGGGCCGACTGCAGCGCAGGAGCTGCGACGTCGAGGGAGCGGGTCGCGCGACCAGCAGAGGGGCAGCGCGCCCGCGGAGCCGCGGGAGCCGTGCCCCGAGGGGGTTGGCTTCCTCCTGGGTGCGCGGGCCCCGGGAGGCGGTGGTTCATGGTGCTCTGGTCGGGGGCCCCCAAACGGGGGGTGGTGACCATACCGTGCGGTGACTCGGTGGGGATTCGGGGTCACCGCACGGTTTTGGGACTCGAGTCCCTCTCCGAGGACGTCTCGGGCGACAGGGGCCTCCGGGGTCCCAAGACCGTGCTGTGACGGACCGTGCGGTGAGGTTTTGGGGGATTTCGAGGTCACCGCACGGTCCGTCACCGCACCGTTTCGGGACTCTCAATCTAGGCCTCTCGGACGAGGGTCCGAGTAGGCGGGGTTGGAGGCTCGTTCAGCAACGCCGATGCGTCGGCGATGCGGCTCGATGTCGAGCCCGATTGTCTCCACGCCGACACTTCGCCGGTGCGGCGCGATCCTCCGACCCCATCGACTCGGACTCCATCTGCGAGGCCTCCAAAGTGGTATTGCACGTACGCTTTCAGGCCCCCATGGCGGGAGCGAACCTGGATCCAGTCAATACTTTTCCAGGGGCCGTCCAAGACGATGTTCCCCAGACTCCATCTGGCCCTCTCCTACCCGGACGCCCTCCCCGACGTCAGCAGGGGCGGGGTTGTTGATCGACGTCGTTATTTTCCTTTTCCGGCTACTCCGCCGCCTCCACCTGGTTTTCTCCCCACATCTTTCCACATCTGCCTCGTTATCCTCATCCATCTCCTTGTGTCTTTTCCTTCCTCTCCTCCCCCTCTTCTACTTCCGTCCTTCCCCAGGGAGGAACGAAAGGGAGGAGGAGGGGAGGATGGGGGTAGGCCTTCAAATCCTTCGTCACGAAAGATCGTCGCGGCTAGTTTTTGCCGCAGCATTCCGCCTCTGGAGGCGCCAAGCGGCACATAGGGAAGGCTTAGTCCGACGGAGATCGTTTTTGTGAGTTCATGGGACCACGGCGTGAAGAAGCAAGGCGTCGGGGATATTTGTGTATAGCACGTTTTATATGCACTGTCGACTTATCCAGCGCAAATTGTATGTGTACAGTCGGGGCGCTGAAGAAGGAAACCTTTTTGTTGGGGAGGGGCTCCGTGTTCCTTAGTTGTTTCACACTTTGCTTAACGTTGTCCTTAGGCATGCGATGGGACATCGAAGTACAGCTTGTGGAAAAGACGGGCCTCGTTCCTTATTTAGGGCTCCTTAGGTCAACGCCCTGACTGTATCTTCACGTTCGAGCGTCATCGCGATGACGCCATCGTTCGATGTCGCCTCTGCTCTCCAGCCAAGGCAAGGTGACACCGATCTTGGAGTAAGGCCGAGCATTGAGGCGCTCGCATCTCGGCCGATCTGCCCCGATGTCGCGCTTGCTTCTGCAAGTCCGGTCTCAATTGACGAAACAAATTTCCGGAGGGGAAAACACCGACACAATTAATCGTCGATTGCCGCGAAAATATGGGAAACATTGGGAAAGGGGGTCGAGACAGAAACCCAGAAAATATGTGAAAATATGGGGGATCCTGTTATTTGTGTGTGTGTATTTATTTGTGTGTCCTTGGGCCCCTTGAGAAACAAGATGTAAGTCGCGCCGCGGAGAGTGTGCCCCCGCCCTCCAAAGTTGAAGCCAGCGCCTTGCAGTGCACGAGCTGGCAGGCATCCAGCCAGGAGCCCTGCGCGCCCGTCAACTTTGAAGGGGCCGCTCAAGAAAGAGTAACCAACACACTTCCCAACTTTGCAAAGGCCGCTCAGTGATGACGCATCGTCAAAGGCACCCCGCGTCGTCGCGTTAGTTGTGCCTGGACTTGTCTGACGAGCAACGGCTTCATGCGTGTCTACTGTGCTAAGCTGTCGGGCAGGCCTGCTCGCCGTTGTGTTGGTTCCGCCACCTCACAACCATGGCACCGCCCTCGTACGGTAGTTTCGTGTCGTGTCGACGCGGCGGCGACCCCGCCGCGGGCGTTGAAGGTTGAACGCCGCCAGCGGCCCAGACTCGTCCATGTGGAACGGTCTGGCGACGGAAAAGCCGCCGATCGTTCAAGGTTGAACGATCCACGCGGTGCCAGAAACATGCGCCGGGGACGTCACGACACGAACTTGCCGTAGCTGGGCCCAGCGGGTCGGGTGCTGCGGAGCTCTGGGCCTCCCAGATGTGGTCCGAGTAGATTGGGCCGGAGCATCGCGCCGCATTGCCGATGCATCGTCGATGTGGCTCGATGTGGAGTCCGATCTTCTCCACGCCGGCTGCGCCGATGCATCGACGATGCATCGACGATGCGGCGGGAGCCTCCGACCCCGTCTGCTCGAACGCCATCCAGGAGGCCTCCGGAAGCTGCCGAGCGCGAGGACGGCGCGCGGCCCGCGGCCCTTTCGGTTCAAGGCACTCGCACAGGGCTGCGGGGCGGGGTCGCCGTTGGCACCCGTTCCTGCCCCCCCCCTCGACGCTGCCAATGGGATGGACAACGGTGCCTGCCTTAGTTTCGGCGTCGCCCAAAGCAGGCTAACACTACGTTGAAGTCGGGCTTGTCCCTCTACAGGAGCAATATTTGAAAATAGCCCAGAAATAGTCTGGGGACAATGTTTTTATTTGTTTTTTGATTATTTAGGGGGTATTTTTTTAGTATTTCTTATTTTTCGCCCAAAATTCGCCTGTAGGGGGACACGCCCGATCTAACGCTACGTGTGCGTCGTCCCCACAGGGGCGACGCGTGCGCCGAGAAATCTTACAGTACATGCTCGGTGGCGGGCGGTTTCTGGCCACGACGCTCGCGAAACGATGTGCAAGATGGTTGTACATTGCGTTTGGTGGGGACGGGCGCCTCCAACAGAAACACGTGGTACCAGTATGCCCTCATGCCTCCCATCGTTAGAAGAAGGAACAGCCGCACACACAGCAGTTCTGTGAGTTCCGCGCGGGCTTTTTGAATCGACGCTGGGCCCCCCTCTGCCGGCGCCTTCGGCGCCGCCCCTCAGGCGCGCGCGAACCGCCGAGAAAGTATGTGTATGGCGTTCCGTGTTCCTCTATTAACGCCCTGCGCTCAGGCGATCCAGGATTCAGACGGTAAGCAGGAGGAGGTGCGTGAGCAGCAGTGGCAGCAAGAGCACATGTAGGGGTATCAGTAAGATTACAGTAGGATTGGCAGCCGTACGTAGTGGTTATGGTATCCGAAATAATCGTATGCATCGGGGGCGAAGCCGCATTTGCAATGGAAGGCCTGAGTAGCCAGCTAGCCGCCATGAGTCCTCTTGCTAACAGGTCTTGTAAGAGTATCGAAGACGCCTACGGCGAATCACCGCCGCCCCCTGCCTTTGTGGAAGCGCCTATGTGGCCGAACGTTGAGGCCAGACCTGCCAAGCCATCGGACCATGTGTTCCCCGAATCGGTTTGGAAAACCTTCGGGGAACACGTGGGCGTCTTGATGGTCATCGTCGCCGTCTTGGAGGCCTCTTGGGCGATCTTTCGGCGATCTTTGGGGGCTCTTGGGCCGTCTCGGGCCGTCGGAAGGCCGAAAAAAGGGAAATGCCCAAATCCATCAAAAACCTTGGGAAAATCAGTGATTTTGGCATCTTTTGGCCTTCCTGGAGGCCCTCTTGGGGGCCTCTTGGGCCCTTTTGGGCCAGCTTCGAGCCAACTTCGGCCATCTTGGTGGGTTCCTGGCACGTCTGACGCCGTCGGGAGCCGTTTTGGGGGCCTTTCTGGGCCAACGGGGGACCCTCTTGGGGCGCTCCAGGGCCGTCTTGGAGGCCATCTTGGGCGTCTTGGAGGCCATCTTGGGCGTGTTGGAGGCCTCTTGGGCCGTCTTGGGGCCCTCTAGGGGCCATCTTGGAGGCCACTTGGGCCATCAGGGGGCTCTCTTGGGGGCCTCTTGGGCGATCTTGGGGGCTTCTTGGGCCGTCTTGAGCCGTCGGAGAGCCGAAAAGGCGCAAATGCCAAAATCCTTCAAAAACCAATGGAAAATCAATGATTTTGGCCTCTTCGGACTCTCCTGGAGGACCTCTTGGAGGCCTCTTGGGCCGTCTGGGAGGCCTCTGGGGGGCCTCTTGGGCCGTCTTGGGCCGTCTTGGACTCTCTTGGGCCGTTTTGGAGGCCGTCTTGGACCATCTCGGGCGGACTTGGAGGCCATCTTGGGCCATCTTCGCGATTTTTTGAGGATGTCCCGAGCGAAACGGCCGTTTTTGGAGGATTTTTTTCCGGATTGAGGTGTTTTCGGCTTCCTCCCGGGACCCCGGCGGGACGGGCCGGAGCCCACTGGGGAGTTCTTTTGGAAAAAGAACCAAAACCAAAACCTGAAACGTCCAGCACGCCGTGCACCCCTGCAAGCAGGGGGCGGCGGATAGAATGGCCTTCGGCCCATCCCGCCACCGTGCCTGGGTCGTGGATGCATTTTGGAGGGCTCTTGCGGGCCTCTTGGGGCCTTGTGGGGGGCATCCTGGGAACATCTCTGGTGCCTCTCGGCGGCATCTCGGTGGCCTCCTGGAGTCCTCTTTGGGGCCTGCTCGGAGTCATCTTGGGGCGCAGAGCTTGAAATCTCAGTTTGCGTTCCCCCTTTGGGCCTCTCTTGGGGTCTATTGGGGCTCTATCTGGAGGCTAATTACTGGGCCGCCACGGGACGATCTTCGGAAAGGCGAGCACTATAAAATTCGTCAAACACTTTGTAAAATCAATGAGGTTGACCTCTTGGGGCGCTTTGGGGCGGCCTCTGGGAGCCTTCTTTGGGCGTATTCGGGGCCTCTTAGGCCGTCTTGGGTCCATCGTGGGCTGTCTTCAGGCCTTCATGGGCCGTCTCGGCGCTCTCTAGGACCGTCTTGGGCGCTTCTCGGGAGACTCTTGCAGATTCGCCGAGTCGTTCTGAGCAGAATTCCTGTCCTGGTGGTCGACGCGACACACCCCGAGAGCACCCAAGAGCGAGTAGAAACTCCGGGAACTTCGTGTTCAGTGGTTGTATAATTCCTCAATATGTTACAGCCGTACACCTGCATGAGCTTCGCGCTGCACGTCGTGCTGAAGGCAGGGTGGCTGATTAGTAGTGGTAGTGATGCGGTTCCTTTGTATAGGCTCCGGGGAAAAGACGTGCTCCCCCCCGCAGACCCCTCCCCCCCCTCCGTAATAGTAACGCCTGGGAACCGGCCACAGGAGTGAACCTTTGCAGCTTCCATGGTGCGTTCTAGGCATCTTAATGAGGAGGTGGAGGACGACGACGATGACGACCGACGTGGCCCAGAGGCCCCCGACGGTGCACAGACATTGTCGTCGTCGTCTTGGCGTTCCTCCTCTCGTTGTCCTGTGGTCTCGACAGGCGCTGCGCCGTGGTGCACACAAGCGCTCTGGTGCACGCATGCTTTTGTGGTGTACTTCCACGGTGTGGTGCACGCGGCTGCTGTGGTGTGCGCGGGCGCCGTGGTGCACAAAGACGATCCAGAACCGCAGGCACCGTGGTGTGCAATGGCGCTGTTGCGCACGCGGGTGCTGAGGTGCACAGAGGCGCTATGGTGAGAGAGCGACGGGACGGCATGGTGCGCGCAGGAGCCGGGGTGAACGGGCGCCGAGGTGCACACGGGCGCTGTGGTGCGCAGAGGTGGTGCCGTGAGCCCACCCAGGTCACGCTGCTGCTGTGGGCGCCCTCGGGGGTGCGCGCCGGCCGCCGATACCGTCACCCCCTCCCCCTCGGCTGACCCTCCGCCCGGGTCAGCACGTGTTACGCCCAGTGTATGGAAAAGCGATCTCGATGCGAGTAGGAGTAGGATTGGCATTGCAAGGGGTTTGCGTTAGTCTTCCTCTTGGTAGCATCCGCAACAACCGCACCGCTCTCCGAGCATCATTGGCACAAGCGTTGGAATTAGGTAGTGGTAGTGGTAGCCGTTGTATTCGCCATCGTGCAGTCGAAGTCGTATCCGTGGCAGTAACAGTCGACGTAATAGCAAATGACGCGTTCATCGACGACGCCTATGGCGGGTCACTGCCGCTCCCGGCCTTCCTGGCAACGCCGATGTGGCCAAACGCTGACCCATTTGGAGCCATTTTGGGCTGTCTTGGGGCCATCTCGGGTCATCTTAGCGTCTTTGAGGGTGTATGGGCGAACGTCTTGGACGCCATCTTGGCCGCCTTGCTGGCCATCTAGGTTGCCGTTTGGGGGTCCTCTTAAGGGCATCTTGGGCCGTCTCGGGGCCATCTTGAAGGCCTCGTGGGCCGGCTGAGGCTGTCGGAAGCTCTCGAGGGCGACAACGCCCAAATCATTGAACACCCATGTGGAAGTCTATGATTTTTGCCTCCATGTCTACTTCTTGGGGGTCTTCTTGGAAGCCTGTTAGGGCGTCTTGGAGGCCTCTCGGGCCGTCTTGGGGCCATGTTGGACGTCTTGAAGGCATGTTGGGGCGTCTTGGAGGCCACACTTGACCTTCTTGTGCTGTCTTGGAGACAATTCCGGCCTTTTTTGCCGTGTGTTGTGTTGTGTGTTCATGCGGATTGTCCAGTTGTTTTTGGGTGGACGGCGGGTTGGACCAGAGAGCATTGCTTTTGTTGGAAGGGCCGCACAACAAGAATCGGCCACGCGCAGAGGGGGGTACGGGGAAGGGGGAAGGCTTTTTCGAAGCACCCTTGCTTCAAATAAGGCGCGGGCCTTCTCCGTAGACGTAGGGCTGGCGCCTTCCAAGAAGTAGCCTCCTCTGCGCGCAGCGCAACAAGAAGAAAGTTCGGCACGCTGGTAGCCCAAGCTTGTTTTCGATGTGGGGCTGCTAGCCAGGGCGGGACTTCGCTAGCATCCCCCATAAACAGGCTGCGAGTTGGGGTCTCCCCACGCAATGGGTGTCCCCCGTTGGCAGTCCCAAGTGCGGCCAATGGCCCCGAGGGACTGCTCAATGGCGGCCCGCTCGCAGACCTGGCAGTTTGGTCAGTGATCCAGCTGCCGTCTGGGCCTAAGAGATTGTCAGGACAGCCCTCACCGCCAGTATGTCATTCCACCGCTTGTGCAGACAAAAGGGGCGGCGGCCCGCATGATGGTGGCGTGGACCGCTTCTCTCGCGGTGCTTCTCTTCGACCCGCTCTCTGCAAAACCCGACAGGCTGGTGGAGATATACGAGGAGGCGCCGAACTTCGACGCCATCATCCTGACGGGCACGTCGCGCAGACGCCGCGAGTTCGCCATCACCCAGCACCGAATTGGCGACACGCGCTACTACGACGCGGGCTGGCAGCCTGGCGACCTGACGAACCACAGCACGAGTATCGCCATCGCGCTGCAGGGCAGGCTCCGACACGACAAGGTCATGGACTTGCAGGAACCGCCCGCCGAGCTCAGGCCGAGGACTCGCCATCACGATGCAGCAACACGACCAGATCATCCTGATCACTGGCTACTGCAGCCCGCCGCAACCCACGAAGGGCAAGAACGCACGCAAGGCCTACTTCGCCACGATCAGCCGCCCTTTGCTTGGATGGACACGGTCAGCAAGCACAAGCCGCGCAACG